AAAACGCGTCAATCATGGTTAGCACCACGCATATCAAGAGGCTTCGACAAAAACTGGGACTCAAGAAAACCACTGCCACACAACAAGAGACGCTAGTAGGCTAGCTCGCCTTGACTTCTGCAGAGAAATGCTTGGAGCATGAATAGGGTTTTCCGACTGTGTTTTTACCGAAGAATGCACGGTTCAAAGTGAATGAATCTTGATTAGCTGGTTCATATTCAACCTTTGCAGTCGAAATGCATTTAAGTAACTTTAGTTAGCTGCTCCGCTATTCTGTTACATAAAACAAGAAGACCAATACTTACCAATACTTAAGAATGTGCAACCGAGCCAAGCATTCTGCAAAAGTTCACATTTGAGGCGGTATCTCAGCTCGAGGGATCGCCCATTTCGCTATTCTGCCAGGAAACTGTCAATTCGATAGCGATCTGTATTGTAGAATCCTGGAGAAGTGTTACCTGCCCTTCAACTCCGACTTTTATAACGGTTTGTTTTGTTTGGGAAATGTGTTAATAACAAGCCTTTCCCCACACTTACACAGCAGTGCACTTCAGGCTATTGTCGTCTTGTACAAAACAATGCCCCACCTCACAAATATCGTTGTGCAAATGATATGCTTAAGATTTGGAGGTTGACACACTGGAATGGCCTGCGGAGTCACCAGACCTAAATCCCAATGAGCTGTGGGATTACATGAAAAACAGCATAAGTTAGCCATTAGGGTGTCATGTAATTGGAAACAGGGTTCAGTGACTTCAATTCAGGAAGCAGGGTATCTGTACTTTGGATGGCCTCAAGGTGGCTATTGCGCAGTACTGGAGAACGCTAACGCCAGAAGTTTGCTTAAAATAAATACATCGGCGGCATCAGGAAAAGGATGGAGCGTGTTGTAGAGCAAGGAGGAAAAAATATTCCCGAAGGTAAGTAAACTGTAGCTGCAAAGTTAACCAATAATTATTTTTTCAGAACCTTTGTTCACGATAACGTCCACTCCTCGAGGAGACATCAAACGTAAGGCCAACTCTTCGTTCAGAGAAATTAACTCCCATCAATTCTGATGATTTCTCTTATTTCTCTGATGTGTCATGTGAACTATTTTTTGTTTCTTTTTGAAAAATATCCATTTTATTCCAAACACATGAAGCGCTTCGTATAACTTCGTTGTTCAGTACAGACGAACACTGAGCGGCAGGCAATCATGGGTAATAATAAACGGGTCTGTTTTTGAATGGCGCAAGATCACACTGTGGCAGGCAATCAATTGTCCTGTGGGAAGTCAATCAATAGAACGGTCTCGTGTTTTGGATGGCGGCAGCTGACAGCCGTCATCACTGGGTTCGCAAATTATTGAGTTCGCCTGAGCTGGTCGAATGGCTCAGAGCGTGTGGTAGCTGCTCATAGCTTGGGCACCGAAGGAGCTCCGATTTTCCGTCGTGTGCATTGTTTGCAATTGGCTTCTGATCCATATCAGAGGCTTTGGCATGCAGTGTATGCTTCTGAGTCCAATTTGGCCGGTTCTCAATAGTATCCTCCCCCGTTGGTTCCTGGTAAAGGAACTGGGTAACAAATAATTACGAAAATTCCATGGGGCATTGAATTCAGAGAACATTCATGTATATGTGAAACAGATTTGCGGAGTATTAAAAAAATACACAGCAAGCCTAGTTCACCGTAGTACGCTCCTAATATTGCACGCTTGAGTCGAAATTTCTCAGAGCTCAGAACAGATATGGCAATGCAGGACCGACGGTCGGAAAAGATCGATAGCAAGGGGTCATCGCTCTGGCTCCATTACTAATTAGCATGCGACTACTTGGAGAAAAAAAAACTGAGTATCAGTACGAAGTGTTACATTTCTTAGTGGCAATCACATCCATTATGGCAATGTCTACTTTGCAATTTGTTCCACTAAATTTAGTCTCATAAGTTACTGTTGGAGATAAACGCATCGGTTAATTTTGAAATGTCAGTGTTGACCAAATCATGACAACCAACGAGCAGTAGCACGAACTATTGAAGATGCTTGCTTACCACAGATTACGTCTTCCAGCCACACCATTGACGATAAAAATTGATAATTAATAAAACTTGGTTTTCACTTGAATTTTGCTTCAGTTTGAGACTACAACAAGTCCGGACCATTTACCTTCAGAAATTGTTTGCAAAGAGTTTCGTTATCAGATGATCGGTGGTTCAGAATGAGTTCATGGCGAATTATTTCTCTTGAAAAACACGGTTCCAAATAGAAAAGGAGATGCGGAAAAAATTTAAGTGAAACCTTGATTTGAAGACGGAAGTTGCTTAATTCCCATCAAGATGGGCACTGAAATGATCAAAGATGCATGATCTACTCGAATATGCTTATATTTGCAGGTTTTGAACCCAATAATGGAGAATTCTGGTCGTGCTAGGGGGTTGACGACGGTGTTATATCTGCTGGTATTGCTATTGGCGAGCAGAGACTCAAACTCCGAATTTCCCAAGAATAAGGTCAGATTCGGAGAAGATCAGAAGTTCTCTAGGGCGTTGGATTCGAAAAGAGCTATCCGTAGACCCTAAATTTAAAATGATTCGAACCATTTTTCCACAAGTTATGGCAAAAAGACGGACTGCGGCTGATTTATCCGTTTTCCGTTTAAATTAGTCGATTTAACAAAAATTAGGGGCGGTATTGCATATATCCGACTTTTGAACTTTTTCCATTGGCTTCTAACGTTCACGTCCTCCTTTTTTGGAAAAATATTTGTTCGAGGAAGAGGATGTGGACATGGATGGTGATGACTTAGACTTGCCAAGTGACCCCTTAATAATTTTTGATGAGTAGTTGGGTAGAAGTCGGACGGAAACAGAACCGATGTAGCGATTCGAGACGCAAATCCCTTCCTTCGCTTTCGGCTGCCACGCGACGCTGCGAGGAAATCGTGGCGCAATTGCCATGCGATTCTATATCATCGATACTGGAGCAAGTGGAGTTGGGTCGTGAAACTCGTCCAACACATCCCTTCTCTGATCTGGAATGGTGGAATGCGGCTGCAAATGGAGTAAGGGACGTAATCGAGGTTTCTTTTGCTTCCTTTTTCGTTTCCAGACCGCTTCTCACCTTTAGCTTCATTACTGAACGCTCTGAAACACCCATTTGTCCCGGGTTTGCCTTTAATAAATAAAATGACCAGGGGTACCAACACATTCGTATGTAGTGAGCGTGTATCGATGCCGTCTTGAGTCTTGGATGCTCCCACAATGGATTTTGAGCAGTGAAGAAATGCATTAGCTCCACTTCTGCGAACTCAGTTCAATTCAGAGAGATATTCTTCTATTAAAGCAGTCGCGAAACGGGCCCCTAAGTTTTTGGAATTCCCCAATACATAATTCATCAGTTGCTAAGTTTCAGCTTGAAGTGCCTTCAAGCTAGTACAACCATCCTGACTGTGTATCTGTTTCCCAATTTCCTAGTGAGGCATTTTTTCCAGAAGTTACGTGCATAAAAAGTGACCTAATGAAAAGTTTTGTGCACATACATTTTGATAAAAAATAATTTATTTGAATTCATTATGTAAGATTGCAGTTATGAAATTTGTTCACATCACACTTTATCACATTTGGCTAAGCATTTCCCGAATATGTTGTCTTGACATTGGCTGGATGATTTCAATCTTTTTCCCTGGCAACTTCTCGACAACGTCCAGAAATCCACTATCCGGCGGATTCCCCTCATCTTCAGTCGTCTGACAGGCCGTATCCGCCACATCACCAGTTGAGCCATGTGTTTGAGTGCAGCGTTCTCTTTTCCAGTCCTTTTTCATCGGTGGGCTGTACTGCAACAACGGTAACCGACTAGAGTTAGGTGCCTCATCGAGTGGCAGCAGCCGCATCCACTCAGGTAGAGTTGGCGTTCGTTGAGAGGAAACCATGATTGGCGGTTTGGCAGCAGTTTGTCTCCGGATTTCCACTTGCGGAGAAAGAAGGCTAAGATCGAGTTTAGAGATTACAGGCACAGGATTTTCGGGTGTCATCGTCTCATCATAGTTCAGCGATAAAAAGTCTGGACCGTCATCTTCACTAAAACCTTCTTTAGCGGTCTCAAGAACATTTTCGAATGTTTCTTCTGTCTGCTGGGAATCTGCCATTGATGAATTCTCTGCCATGACTGGACTACCTAGCTGAGCCTTGATTTTGTTCAATGTACTGTCGAGGTGGCGCAAACTCCTATCGATTGCTTCAGTACCTTTCTTTAGATTTGAGAAAGAGGTATCAGACGATCGCGATATTCTTTCAGATAGCGCTGGCCGGAGGTTATCTGCCTTGTTGCGGAACGACGACGATATGCTTTCTAGGAAGCTCTTCTCGCCAGCAACATGGTCTTGCAACTGTTGCTGCATCTCAATATTTTTCTTGAGCTTTTCCTGTAGCGCACGAATTTTCTTCTCATTCGTGACCAATGTTCGCGGGCGGTCTTTTCCCAAGAGCGTCCTTGCCCGCTCAGCATACATAGCTACGACATCTACCCTTGGCGAAAATATTCGGTCGGTGAGAGTCGAGCCTCGTATTGGGAAGAAGTGCGCGCTGAGTAGCAAGGTCGGTCTGGTACTGATGGTGAGGGTGAACAGATGTCATTGGAATGAAGCCTCAGTAGAACAGGAATCAAAGAGGAGTCGAGCGCCAATGGAGTCGTCCATTCGCTTGCAACGAATCGCATCAACTCGAACGTAGCAGGTGGTACCTAAAAACGAGTTCTTTAGTATTGTAATCGGAATAACAGTTTTATGCCATGATGCTCAATTCTGTTATAGAAAGGCTGGTAACTTTGAAATGTCGCCTTCCTTTTGTGTTTTTGTTTCTCAGCTGAAACACAACCTCGTAATATGGGAGACCATTCATTCGAGAGAGCGATTCAGTGCGCATATTGCGAAATCTTAGCGCCACTGAGCGGATGTTCTTCGAGCCAAAACTTTTGCTCGAAGATGATTGATCGTCAAGCGTATATATTCAAGCAAGAAAAACGGCCAACGAATCTCCACTCATTGTGTGCAAAACATTGAGCAGTAACACTTAGTCTCTGATGCACTTTCAGCTATGGTTTCAGCTCTTCCAAGACTGAGGTAAAGGACCTGAGGACGAAGATCGTGGATTTTGACCTCTAGCTCTAGATGACGGAGAAATAAAGAAAGCCAACGAATTGAGTCCTCGACAAACCGCACAAAACTTGCATGGAGATTCAGTTGTGTCAACAGAAAAATTTGAAAGTTCCTACGTGCGACTGTTAAGGCCTTTCAGGATAGAAAATGGGTTCGGCCTATTCTGAGCGACGCGAGCAAGCAGTACTTGGTTGCCAATACTTGAACTCTGCTGCATAACTCCAAGAAGAGAAGGCTTCTTGACTTCTTTTTGAGCACAGTTCGAAAAGGATGTTCCCCGATAAAAAAGTGAGACGATGGCTACGGTTCGGAGCAGATGGAGAGCGAAGATGACACCGAAAACTGGAGGGGGCGACGGACTATACAATCGTCGGCTAATGAGGTCACGCCGCTCACGCGGCGAGAATCGTCGCGTGCGGCAGTTGCTGCGGCGATTTCTGTGTGGACCTTTTCTTATCCATCCATGCCCATAAGTTGGCTAGGTGACTGATAACACCAGAGTGCTGGACATCAGTAAGCCAGCAAGCGTCACTGTAAGATCCCTGCAGTGATTTAAGCCTCGCAGTACAAACTTTGTACCGTTGTCCTTTTGGATTTAATTTGACTTCTTTATTAATCAGTTTCCTGAATTTCTATCAGAGAGTGATAATCTGGTTCAATCGGAAAGAATATTGCGTATCAAGACACAGAGTAGCGGCGAGGAAGGCTCTAACATAAGCATGATATGATAAGTATGTAATAATGGCGAGCGAAAACGAAACTGCATTTTAAAGGGTAAGGTGGTTCCTATTTCATGTTTCATTACTGGAAACTTAATCTAATCTTACATTCTCCAATGTTTGAATGCTGAGCTCTTTGCAAATTCGCCGCGATATTGCTGGCTGCGGCGGCCGGCGCGGCGACCTACTTACTGCCACGATTGTATAGTCACGCAGCCGAAAATGGACATCCACTGAAAAAAGTCCTGCTTGTTCATGGTGAAAGTATAGGACTGGCCTACTATGGAGTGCTGATTGTTGGTCAGACAGTTACAGCTGAACCCTGCGCACAACAGCCCGCCCGCGTGGACCAAGCTCTGCGTCGTCAAGTGGGAAATCCGGCCATTATAAAACTATGGCACGATAACGCAAGACCACATGTCGCGAAAATCACGCAACAAGAAATCGAGGAGTTGGGCTGGGACGTTCTACCTTCCGCGCCATATAGCACAGATCTGGCGCCGTCCAACTATCATTGACTCAGGTCAATGCCGCGCTCCTTAGCAGCAAATAAATTCAATAACC